AATTCCTCAACGACTCCATTTTTCGTTTTCACTCTCATTTTTATCAGGAAGAGAACGGAATTGATCGTCGACGCCATGTCCTTCTCCTTCTTCAAGGCCTCTCGGAGTCGGCCGGGCCCTTCGGAGCTCGCCAGGGCGATCAAGGACAGCCTGCTGGCCCTCGACACCAAGACCTTTGCCAAGGTAAGATGCCCTGTTGATTTTGACGCGCATATTATGCCTTTTTATGGAAATTTTGACATGGGTTCTTCGTAATTTGCTGTTATGCGGGGTTTTAGTTAACGGGTATTCTTCCGTTGCTCCAGATTCAGCTTGTTGATGTTTAACTGTGGGCTGTTTTTGGTTAGTTTTAGAAGAAATAAACGAAAAGGATTTAGGCATGAATTTTGGTGGAACCGTGACTGCCTTGTTTTATATGGCACATTGACATCATTGGTAGGCTAAAGCTAGCATATAGGACTGATATCTATATCTACGTCTGAATTAGTTGATATCTATATCAATAGCAAATGGTTATTTCGGTCTAAATTTGAATGTCTCATCATACTAGGATTACTTTGGATGAGGCTAATGAGACTATCAAGAAACATTGCAGATTCAAGAAATATTTACTTATTTCTTTTTTTGTAGCAAAACGCTTCTTTTACCAATTAATCTTCATGATATGCTCTAAATGGAGGACATTACTTTTATCGAAATGTTTCCTTTGAAGCCCCGTCAACAGCTTGAACGGTGCCAATATTAGCTAAACAATTGGCTCTTGAAATGCTCATGAAATGTTAGCCTATGTGTACCTCACGAGTCTTTGCAAGCTCTCAAAGAGCACAATCAAGCTTGTGAGTTTTCAACTCTTAGCCAACAAAACAACACAAGAACATCGATATTGACAATGACAAAGCTATCAAATCCACGTTTATTCCTCTATTTGTCGGGGTGGCCAATGAGAAGAAGAGATGGAAGAGATAAAGCCTCATACATACGCAAGATCAACGAGGTTACAACAAAAAGGAAAGGGCTACATGGAGCCCCAGATTACCACCTTGGCCTCAAATAAGACATGAGAAAAATAACGTTCACATTTGGAGCTTTGCCTCCAAAGTCTGATGACTTCATTATGTTACTTCCAAATTAATTAGGCACCATTCATGAGTATTGTTGATGGTTTATATGACCACACAGTCAATTGGATCCAGGATAGGATCTGTTTGTTCAATATTGAAGAGGGACCGCTTTCTTCACTGACTTTATGTCTGGTTCTTGAATGAGGTTGCTGAACAATCTGTTCATATAAAAATTCGTGAGAGGACGGGGATTGCTCCCCCGTTGTACCTCCAACGATCAAGTTAGTTGATGACTTGAGTAGGGTAAAGAAAGAACTGTGTGTTCTTGTAATTGTGTAGTGTACGTGTTAGGGGATCAGATTTGTGAACTCAAGATTCCAGCCCTTTGTAATGTAGGATAGTACATGTATTTATACCTGTGGGTATGAGGGGTAGAACCGTCATTTTGGCCGAACAAAGGATGGCGATGAAGAAGCGTGTGCTGACGGTTACGTCAGCACTTGCTTTACAGGTGTCGGCTGGCGAATGTGGTAAGAATTACTTCAACATTGAATGAGAAGTGAGCTGTGGCAGGGTAGTGACACACGTGGTCTGATGAGTCATGAAGGCTATCGGAGCTAGGGGCATGATGTGCCTGACAAGCATTGATGCGATGTTGACACGTTGTCAGCGAGAATAAGCTCGAGGCAGAAGATGTTATTTGCATTCGGTAAGAAGTAACACCTTTCGCGTCGACATAGAGGGATGTCGGCTTGACAAGTCGGCTGAGTGAGGCATCTGACAAATGGTCGAGTGGACTCGTGACGAGTCATCTTTGACAAAAGGGAGGTGACAAGTTCCGCCTTTCGAGTCGATATGAAAGAATATAAAGTCGTTGAGTCAGCGGAATGGTCGTCCCTACTGGTCTCTAGCCGCCAAGTTGATTGGGACATAGCATGTAGTACACTTGGTACACTTGTTCGTTGCTTGACAATGAGCTTATACTCGGGCGAATGGGAACACCATAACAAGTATGATTTGTTTCCATATTGTCCCTTCCTTACTATGTCAACACGGGTAGAGGTGTAGATGCTCGTATGTGTTGAGGATCGATATCAGGACGCAGAAAATAAAAAGTGAGATGCAAGACATGAGGAATTATGTGGTTCGGTAATTGCCTGCATCCACAGGGAGATATATGAGTCTCCTTTATTGTAGAGATTACAAAGAGACAGACTTTCTTGCGTTCCACAAAGAGCCCGCAAGAAACAATCTCATCAAAAGATCCTGAAAGAACCCTAGGTTTCTCTCCTTTATTTCTTTCCACATCTCTTTTGACAATATGCAATTCTCCTTGGCTTAGATCCTCTAACCTAGACTCAAAAGACATGTATTTATTTATAGTGTTAAAGTCGAATACAATACCAATTAGGACTCCTAACCTGAACATGATCCTAGAAAACAGAAACATCCCGAAAGTAGTTTAGCAGGCAATTTGGGGTGTGGTTCGATCGGCCGGTGTATCGCCAGAGCCACTGGTTGGTCAGATCGGCCAACTACACTATCCGCTCCTTCTCCTTTTCTTTTTCTGCTTTGTTTCTGACTCTTTTGATGTCTACCTAAGTTGAAATGCAAAGCTATTTCTAATAGTACGGGTGCAAGACAGGTCAAAATTTGTAAAAGGTAGGAGATAGGGACAAAGCTACACGCACGCATGCACCGCACACACACATATTGCAATTAGTAATTCACAGGAGTTCAATTTTGTTTTTCCATTCACATGTTATGAAAACTAAAATTTCTGTAAAATATTTACATTTTACTTCATTTATAAAGTAGATTATAAATTGGACAACCTATTGTTTTTTATCTTGATAATCAAACGACCATTTTAAAGCATACTTCTAAATTGGGTGTGGACTGAAAAGAACCCGACTTGTGTCCAGGGAATTGCAGAAAGTGGATGTGAATGTAAGATATGCATCCAAGAATTGTATGACAAATGTTTTAAACTAAAGCATATATTATATAATTGAGTATATGTCTACATAACTGCATGCATGTTCAAGGAGTCGGACACGTGTTGGACACATGTATTGGTGCCCAGAGGAAGTGTCATGGTAACTTAGCTTCCTCGCAGCCTTCCTTCAAGCTTTGACCCAACTCAATTAGGTGCCCTATAGAGTGGAGGTGTCACCTCAACCTGAAGACGAAGAGGAGTACTATACCCATGTATACTGATCCCACACGATCCAAACAAAAATGACAAGTTTCACTCTCAAGACCACAAAAGGATCACACATTTCCGAACCTCAGTACACAAGCTGTATCGCACAAGTAAACGCTGCCAAATGACCTACCAGCAAAGGTTCTTGGTTCTTGAATTGGTACCCAACTTCCATAGACACGGCCACCTTCATCTTTCTATGAAAGACTTCTGATATATAAGCTGCCAACGACTCTATTCCTTAGTTGAGAACTTGCATTACTCTTTCCATGTTAGTCTTCACATGAGATTCGGGGAAGAGGTATTAGCAAGATTCAGTCCATCAAATCCTGGTCAAACTGTTGGCGTAGACTCGGTAAATCCCAGTGAATAAATAAGCACATCAATGGTCAATTTGCGGGAAGGTATAAGCATAAACATATAGGTTGGCCAGCAACAGAAGAGAGTAGTAAATGCTGAAACGCTACTAAGAATCAACATTATGGCTCTGTATATGATCATCACGTGGTAAGGTTGCCGAATATGCTTAGCACCATCAACTGATCTCCAAACTGCTGAGAAATTATGCCATACAACACAAAGTCCAAGATGCTCCAATGCATATTTGCTATATACCTGACAGGTACATACTATCTTCCCTCGTCATGTATCGCATGCTTAGCAAGCACTATTGTCCTTGACAAAGTCAGATCATGAATCCAATCCTTCCCTAGACTTGATTTCATGATGGTCCCTGAGAAAATTGTACTCATCTTTCAGGGTCAGCTAATAGAAAATGCCTTCTCAATAGCCATGGAAACTAAACAGGCACCTGACTATTAGACCTCGTTTAATATGCGATCTAACATTAGGGCTGTCAAATGACCCTGCCAATACCACCAAAACTCCAAAGTTGTGTTGGAGGTTGAGGGTTATCATTTTATATTCTAACAAGGACAGTTGATGTGAATCACATGCCTTCTTGAGAGATGAAATCCTCCAGTCTCAAATTTAAGCCTTTTTCCTGACATTGTGCTAATATCACCAATTCCCGCACCAACGTCACTTGAATCCCTAACAGATTTTCTCTGCGATCTTATTAGATGTGGAAGGTTGTGAATACTGATTGAGTTCTTGAGAAATCTTGCCGAACGATTCACAGTAATGAAGGCACACCTCCTTAAAGGTTATACATTTGCATCCTTGTCCCCAATACTAAGAAACAGTCACCAGCAAGGAGCAAGTGCAGAATATAGTAGCTTTGGACAATGTCATTTCAACTTATCCAAGAACATCCTCAGTGCATTTGTCAAGAATATTTGACGTCAAGAAGTTGTGTATGCATTTGTCAGGCATATTTGACATCAAGAAGTTATGTATTGATTTGTTTTCATAAATTGAGATTATATGGAGTCATTCTTTCATCGTATCTTCGGTTAATGACATGGTACTAAACAATCATGCAATGCAGCTCTCTACACGTGGCATAAAGAGAGGAGGTGTTTGAAAGTATATCTACTTTATATGAAAAATGCCCTGTGAGCTATACATGCTTGACTACTGAGGGCCATTGAAGAATCCAATCGACAAGTGGCTTACAACTGCATCGAGCAGTATATTGGTTGAACTTGTCTTGAAATTATCATAGTTGTTCCACAATTTTATCTCCATGATTTCTGCCTAAAAAGTATTTTCACAATTAAAGCTTACTCAATGTGATCTCATTTGAGAAATTCTTGGTTATGTAGTTATATATAAGCAATGAAGAAACATTTGCTCTTTAGTCTTTATGTACGCATCATCACTTACTTTCTGCTTGCTAGTGAGGATTGAAACTGTGCACATATATACATGCAACTTGGATTAATATATCCTTTTAATGCATGCATTTTCATATTAGGCTCTCGAAGAAGTTGAAAAGAATATTCTGTCTATGAAACACATGATTTGCGGTGATGGAGAAACTGAACCAAATCAGGACCAGGTTACCCAGCTAGCTACTGAAATCTGCAAAGAGGATGTTCTTTCCCTTTTTGTCCAGAAGTTGCCAAGCTTGGGTTGGGATGTAAGTTTATAATATATAAAACATAAAGTTAATTATTTCAAGTGCTAAAGCTGATTGAAGTCTTCTTAACAGGCTAGAAAAGATTTAGCCTACTGTTGGGGTATTTTACTGAGGCAACAAGTTGGTTCTACTTCTATCTGCGTGGATTATATTGAGAACCATTTGGAGCTTTTGGACTTCCTTGTGTTTTGGTGGGTCAACATTCTTATAGTATACATATTTGTTGCATGCTCTTTACTTCTATGTCCAATGTACAATCATGCTGGAATTTAAAGATCTATGTTTTTAATAATATATACACATGCCATTTTAAAGTGTATTTTGATTCCATAATAAACTTGGATTCAAACTAAATGCTAAGCAATTAGCAAAGTGGTAATTTAATGATGAATTGTTTGTGGTGTATATGATGCGAGCATTATCACTTTCTCTTGCTTGCATATTTTAAACATTTTCTGTCCCCTTTTAGTTATACATGTACTATTCAGTCCTCTTTTCTGTTAGTAATGTATATCATTTGGCTTTTTTTTTAAATTACTTTTAGGTACTCAAGATTTAAGCTCTTGTAGTTTGTGTTTCCTTATATGTATAGTAATTAATAGCAACAAAAAGCATAAATAATCATCTTCTGTCATATTGGAAGCACTTTAGAGAATTTATGATTCTCTGAAGGGCCCTTGTTTACTCAGAGAATTTCTTGAATGTTGGAGCCTGGAACTAAATCATAGTTAAAGCTACTGATCAACTTTTTTTTGTGCTTCTTAATTTTTGCACTTAATTACAACGTTGCCTTATGAACCTTGATTCAGCTAATAATGTCTTCAAAGCAGTTATAATAACAAAGAGACTGCTCTGAATTGCGGCAATATGTTGAGGGAATGCATCAAATATCCATCACTTGCAAAGTAAGATCTTTGAACTCTTTTCATCAAGCAATTCTTTTTTTCCCCTTCTTTTTCCATGTATTCATATGAGTTTCCTTTTTTAATGTATAATAAATGCAAACTATTAATAATAGTAACATGCATTAGCAGCTCGCGATATGACATTTTATTTTGGGATATGTGGCTTTAAGATTAATTGCACGTCATAAGATTAGTTAAAAACTATAAACATGTTGAGGATATAAATGACATCTATGATCTAAAAGAATGGCAAAAGCAGTCATAACTCATAAGTAGGCAGCACAGAAGAACCATGGCTAATCAGATGGACATAAGAATAGGCATGGGAACCATTTTCACCTACTGAAGTGAGCAAGGTCGATTAGTCTCTCATTTGAGCTAATGGATCCTTGCTAGATACAAATATAATTTTTTGACATAGCTGGGGAGATCAAATTATCTCAAACAGGTTGATTATTCTCTTAAAGGCTAATGAATCCTTGCTTGCTATCAACTTTCTTTGACATAGCTACCATTTTTTCATGCCATCAACTTATCAGCTAGCCTTTACTCGAGAATGAACGTGTACTCTTCAACTGTGAACCGCAAGAAGTTCGGAGGAGCATGAGAAGCCTTCTTAGTGTGAGGAAAAATAGCCCTGTTTGGCAGATGAATAGATGACATTGTTGCCAAGAATTATTCTTGTGCTGAAGAGGGCTCGTTTGTCGTTGATTGGAAATTTTGAGAAAATGGCTGTGGAGCTGATTGGTTTTATGATGGATATGATCAAAAGCTAAACCAAGAAAAGGGGCAGGTATGGAGGTTGTTGGAATTGTAAAAAAGCAAGCATGTGATGTGAGTGATATCAACTGAAACAATCAGGTACATGCCATGTTTGGACAAACTTAGATTAACTAAGAAGGGAGACATTGATGAAGAGATCTAGAATATTGCAATATCCTCCCTGGACAGACATCACATTAAATAAGAGAACTTGAGAACAGCAGCAACGATGGGTTGCGTTCAAAAGGATGAGGAGCTTTCAACAGTAGTGAGTTATTGCATTTGCTACCAGTGGGTGGAAAGACCTAAAGGAATCAAGGTTATGTTAAATAAACTGATGCATCTGAGTTTGATCAAATGCTGTTCATTGGCTTTGTCTGTACCTGATAGGGACATTGTTTTATATTCTTTATCCTTTTCTCCCACTCTTGAAGGGGTGCATTTGGGGAGAAATGCAAGATTGTAGAGCTTAGTGGAAGCGAAGCTTCATTAATGAAGTAGTAAATAGATTGCGGAAAACCATGCTTTGGTGCCATTTTGACGTACTTGTATAGTTTGAAGTGTTGTGGTTTTTCATGAACCATCATCAACTGAATGATAGTCTTGACTTCTTGTAGATATCATTTTGTAGAGGTTATATTCAGTGTGCTTTATCATCTTACGGCAAATCAATTTGATTCATCATGCATTTTGATTTTGTAGTGCTATTTCAGATATGTGCTGGAATCAACAAGCTTTGAGTTATTCTTCAAGTATGTTGAACTGCCAAATTTTGATATTGCTTCTGATGCTCTTGCTACCTTCAAGGTTAGTTTTGCCATCCTTTATTTGTCATGTTAATATGTCATTCTCGAAATTGTGCTTCATGCTGTTTACATTTTGAGCTACTTTTTTTTTGGCAGGACTTGCTTACTAAACATGAAACTGCAGTCTCTCAGTATTTGAGTGTTCACTATGAAGAGGTAAGGTCATAGAAAAACTTATGGATAGCCTGTGACATGAATATTTTCAGTCTATTATCTGTAGACATGTATGTAACTCATCTAACATTAGAATATTGTTCCAGTTCTTTGAAAATTATGACAGGCTATTGGCATCTCAAAACTATGTGACAAGAAGGCAATCCTTGAAGGTTAGGCGCATAAGTGATTTACAATTTGCTTATGTCTGATACCATGTTTTCCAAACATAGACTGATGATAGTATGATGTATTTTAGTTTCTTTCGGAATTCCTTTTGGAGCCTCCAAATTCACAAATAATGAAGCGTTACATCCTAGAAGTTCGATACTTGAAGACAATGATGGCTTTGTTGAAGGTAAACCAGATGAATGAACTAGGTCTTTTTTTCTAAAATACCTCGAGGTATGTAATACTAATTGAGTGGAGTTTTGACCCCTTATTGAGGATACAATAAACTTCTACTTCTTAGTGTTACCTCCTCTCTATAAGCTTGATTCTTTTACCAGTACTCTAAATACAAATCCATAATCATGCAGGACTCGAGCAAAAACATTCAGATATCTGCTTTTCACATTTTCAAGGTAACTTTTCCTTCAGATAAAATACTTCTATGTGTCAACACTTTTTTAAAGTTTTTATGCTTTTTTTTCCGTTGAGGGGTTGTTTGGATTTTTTGTTGAGTATTTACGACACAAGTTGGAAAGTGGAGGCCCACCTCCTCATTTTTCTTATGACCCTTTCCTTGGTGTGGATTCCATTGGGAATCCTAAAGAATAAAACTTTTCTTGGTTTGCATGATGAAATCTAGGAGAGTGGTAGTTATGTGGACCCCATTCAAATGGATCATTTTACCTTATGTAAGGTTACTTCCATAAAAGACAAAAAAATCTAACAACTCAATTGATATGACCATTATACTCTATTATTAAGTCATTCAATACAAAAATGTTCCAACAACATTAAGAATTCTGTAAATTCTGTAACTATCTTCATCAAAAATCAAACTGAATGGTTGTTTTCTACTTTTCTACAATCATAGTTTCTATACTTACCAAACTTCATCAAAATCAAATTATGAAAACACCTTAAAAGTAAGAAAATAGGAGATGCGAGAACTAGATCTTTGTGCATTACGTGAGAACTACAAATTAGAGAAAATTATAAATTTCCTATATAATTGATCGTCCAAATCTCATGCCTTTAACATTGTGTAACAATCAGAAATCCTTTTTTAACTCATCAAAAACCCAAAAAACCATAAAATTTCTCCCTAGAAAATTAGAAACCTTCATCATTTAGCTTGTGCTTGAGATTCAGAAGCTTTGAAACCTGCGAGTTCTTTGATCTGTGGGCTCTTTCGAAACTAGCAAGCTCTTTTGAACTTGTAGTTTTGAGTTCTTTGAACAAGAGATAGATAAGAAGAGATGGATAAGAATACTTTAGAAAAAGAGAAAAAAAAAGAGTCGGAGAAGAGAGGGAGAAGTGGTTGTTGGTGGCTGAAAAACAAGACAAACAACCCATTTGATAAAAGATGAAAGAGTGGAGTGGTAACCCTAAAGAGTATGTGATGGTTTTTTATTTTTATTTTCTGACAAGCATAAACTTTTTAGTTTTTTTTCTTTCTTTGGGCGTGATTTCTTTTGACACATCAGCAATGAGGGTGACTTTTCAGCAAATTTCGTGTTTTTAAAGTTTTGCAGTCAAACAAGACACTTTTGAGAATGCTGAATGTGGATCCTATATCTTTACAACTTCCATAGTATTTTGATTGCATCTTTGGAAGGAAAACTATCAAAAGTAAATTTGAGGTCCACATTCAATTTTCTCAAAGGTAGTTTGGTTGCAACTTTGGAAACATAAAAAGTTATTGTTGTATCCCGTTGTATCCCCTCCATTTCTGATATGTTAATGATAATAAAGATCAAGTCAAAAGGAAGGGAAATCTCTGTAAAATTGTACTTGTTGGGAAATTAAAAATTAAAAACTAAAAATCTAACTACTCCGTAGGGCGATCCCTCTTTCAGCTGTCAAATAGCTCCTCCGTCTCTTTTTTCAGCCACTAACGACCACTTCGCCCTCTCTCTTCTATGACTATTTTTTTACCCAATGATCGGTTCTCCCTCTCTCTTCTACCACTCTTTTTATCCCAAGAATACCTTCTCCATCTCTTTTTCAAAGAGCTTGATGCTTCAATATCGAAGAGCTTGCTGGTTTCAAAAGAGCTCACTGGTTTCAAATAGGATCTTAAGCACAAGGTGAGGATTGAGATTTTTATCACGGAGAAATATTACGGTTTTTGATGAATTTTGGGAAGTAGAGGATCTATGATGAATTTTGGCATGAGAGTTGGACGGTTTATTATGTAGGAAATTTATATTTTATAATTTTCTCAAATTTATAGTTCTCATCTAATTCACAAGGATTTAGTTCGTTGAACTTATTCTTTCATTTTTTAGGTGTTCTTCCTTTGAATAAGTTGATTTTGATTTGATGAAGTTCAATAATTACAGAATCTATGGTTGTAGTAAACAACATTCAATTTGATATTTAATAAAGTTTGATAACAGAATTAAAGTGTTCTTAATGGTGTTGAAATGTTGTGGGTCTGATTGACTTATTTAATATAGTAAAATGATTATATCAATAGGGTTAGATTTTTTCATATTTTATGGAGGTATTACATATGGTAAAATGATGCATTTGAATGGGTCCATATAACTTTCACTTTTCAAGGTTTCATCATGCTAATCAAATAAATATTTTTTGTCATTGAAGTATTCCTAATGGAATCCAAACCATAGAAAGAAAAAAAATCAAAGGAAAATGATGAGGTGGATAGCGCATATATATTACACCTTTTTCCAAGGCACATATTGCTATTTGATAGCCCCTAAGCTAGCTAGTACACCTTTTCCCTTGATTTCATCATGCAAGCCAACCATCACACTTAAGCTAGCTGTAACTACTGTTTTCCAAGATTTCATAATGCAAACTAAGAGTTCTATCAGAACGAACGCCCGATACGGTACGGGGCGACCTGATACACACAAGGGGCACTGAAATACCAAAAGTGCCCCCTGTTTTGCACCTCGTGTTTGTCAGATCGCCCCGCACCATGCGCGGTGTTCTGATAGGACTCTTACTCATGCAAATCCACTTGAGTCATAAATATTCAACTTTACAAAGAGCATCCAAACAGCCCCTAAGCCAGCTACCACGCCTTTTTCCTTAACTCCTATTGTTATTTGACTTTTGATTTCTTGAATAGCACACATATTCTTGTCATAAATAACATACTATATAGAGATTTTCTGAAAAGCTATTATATAATGAGTTAAGAGTTGGGTGCTCTAGTTGGAGTTGAATGCAAAATACTCCCAATAAACATGATGATAAGCCATCAACCAAGAATGAAATCACTCTTGATCAGAGCCTGCATGATTTTAGTCGAGGTCTCAAATTTGCTGGTTGTTTCTTGCCCATGCATAATTGATTTAGTGAACGGGTTTTATTATGGCCTATATTTTCTTGGTGAGATTTTTTGTGGTTCAGAAGCATCAAATCTTATAAATTATGCATGTTTAGGAGTGGGATTTGCAAAATTCCCTAAAAGAGGCAGTGGGATAATCTATATGAAGCGCTCAAGTCTAACAATGATGCATATGTATATATCATTTTGAATCATGAAAATTCCCTGCAGATTTTATGGCCTTACCACCATTGTTGCCAGAAGTTTGGGTTGATTATTGTCTGGTAGAATCTATGGTATCCAAGAGAGGTGACATTAAAAAAATGTAAAAATTATCTAATATTAATGAAAACATTATCATACTTCCCAACAGATTTTATTTTTTCTATTTGTTTCTCAAAGGTTTCTTTGGTCGGATCAGGTATTTGTTGCTAATCCACATAAGCCACAGGGGATAATTGAGGTCTTATCCAAAAATCACGAAGAACTGTTGATGCTACTAAACAATCTTCCTATGAGCAAAGGTATATAATTTTTTCATTCTCAGCTTCATCTATATCTCTTAAACTGTTTGTTCCTTAAGATAAGTGCATGCATTCATTCATGCATGTATGTTGGTCAAAATTAGATAAATGGTTTTTATCTTTTAATTGAGCCATCTTGATTTGTCCTTTTAATATTTAAGCCATATGATGAAAGTGCCATCGAGAAAAGTACATGATAAGAATAAGATGATCATATTAGTCAGAGCAAGAGGGAGATAAACTTGTTATTCCCATGGTTCTACAAAAAGTAGAACCTCTTAAAAATCTTCACTATTTTTAATATATTTTTAACATGCAAGAGATGCACATCTCAACGGTTCTACCATGTAGGTAGCCTTGGGAAAATTATAGAATGTCAACATAAGAGCATCATATAATTTTCTTGTTATATGTTCTATTTTGGAATACTTTTATATTTGCTCATCTCGTCTTTGCACATTAATTGGGGTTTTATTTGCTTTTTAGGTGGTGAAGACGAGCAACTCGAAGAGGAGAAAGATCTAATTTGTTATATGTTCTATTTTGGAATACTTTTATATTTGCTCATCTCGTCTTTGCACATTAATTGGGGTTTTATTTGCTTTTTAGGTGGTGAAGACGAGCAACTCGAAGAGGAGAAAGATCTAATATATATGTTCTTTTGGAATACTTTTATATTTGCTCATCTCGTCTTTGCACATTAATTGGGGTTTTATTTGCTTTTTAGGTGGTGAAGACGAGAAACTCGAAGAGGAGAAAGATCTAATTATTTGCTCATCTCGTCTTTGCACATTAATTGGGGTTTTATTTGCTTTTTAGGTGGTGAAGACGAGCAACTCGAAGAGGAGAAAGATCTAAT